CCCCAATATGCTGCTCTCGTCGAACATGGGCTGAATCGGGTAAAGGCCCTTTTATATATATATATATTTGGCACGCCCAGGTGCCTGGCCGGGCATGAAAATCTTCCTATGTATCTTTTTAAAAACCGGTTTCCCGGTTCACCCCCTCTAAGCTGGTCCTGCACAGGGCGAACCAAGGAAGGTGAACCGGCCGGTTGCCAGCCCAGCCTTGCATAGAACACGTTGAACAAGTAGGTTACTAACGTGCTTATCTCAGTTGGTACACCTATGACTTGTTGAAACCTGGGTTCAAATCCGGAAACTAGACAGTTCAATGATAACATCTCACAGCTGTCGCTTTTTGAAAATCAAAAAAGAAAAAAAAGTTAAACAAGCCGGTCAAGAGCTTGGTGTCATCATCGTCGATCATCACACAAGACAAGATCCATCAGATGCCAGTCACTAAATCAGCAGGCTTAACTCAGGAAACTTAGAAACCTTACACTACAGCATTCAGAAACAACAAACGACCCAAACAAAGGGCATGACCTTCAACACAAAGAACATGTTATGATGCACCAAATGGCAAAGACTAAGTGTGCCGCTTTGGCAACAGACGGGTGTGTGGGCACTTGGCGCTGAACCACACAAACGTGGCCAACCTTGCATTTTCTATTATATTGCCTACCTATACTTTTTCGTTATAGATGGTTTGTGATGATCTGTGAAGGGCATGAGAGAGAGAATCTGGGGTCTCTTAAAACAACACACACAGAACAAAGAATGTGCAACTAATGTGCTCCGAGAATGGTCTTGGTCACATGCTCGAGGAAGGCACTAGCGCATGCAAAAACAAGTAACGCAGCAGCCGGAAAACTCTAACCCAGTTTCCCACAAATGGCACTCAGAGACTACGCACGCCAGGACCAGCAAGAACCAACCACAACACAGGCAGAATCAGAAGCTGATCATTCAAGTTTGAGCTTAGAATACAAGCTTGTTCAGTGTCAGTCATACCTTGTCCAACCCAATCCTTCCAGTTTCATTCTTCTGCCACTGCTGACAATTCTTCATGAACCACCACCACTTTCTTTTTGTTGCCTCCTTTCTTTGCTTTTTCACATCCATTGCTCTGCTAGATTATTTCTTCCACAGCGCTTGCAGATAGAGTCAGTCAGATGCCAAGCATCCCGCAAGAAAGAGACCCAATCAGCAGCAGTCTGTCGCCTCCCTCATATGCCCTAAGCCCAGTTCAATAAAAGATAGTCTCAAGAGTCAAAACAATGCAGCCTATACTCACACTCCTATTGTTTCGACAGGATCTGGCTGTTATTAACACCACATCCATCCCGGAAAGAATCAGTGTGAGTACACCCTTAGGATACACAAGCAGGTGCAGCCAGCGCAGCTCCACCCGCGAAAACAGTCAGGAGGCGACCCCAATGACGAATCTCACTTCACTCTTTCTGTCTCTGACTCTATGTTTTCTTTGTTAGTGTATGGCTGGTGCTTTCTGTATCACTGTTTTAGCTCTTAGAGTCTTCTGTCTTTCTAAGTGTTTGTGGAAAGCAGAATAGTAAACAGCAATAGTCCCAAACAGCAAGGTCATACAAGGTCACAAACAGAATAGTAAACAGCAACGAGTCTTCAACGATTCGAAGAACATTATCATCGTCACCGAGAAAGAGTAGCAAACAGCGTCAGAGCTCCCTGGAACTTCGGGAGCTCACACTAGTCTGACAGTACATGCGGAAAAGAGCTACAACACCCCCCTGCCTCCTTAGCACCTCCCCACTGAGCCGGCCAAAGCACCTACCCACCACCTACCCACCGAGCCGGCCGAAGCACCTACCCACCACCTCCCCACCGAGCCGGC